AACAGTGATTGATATACATATTACATTAAATAATGTGGCGACAGTCAAATACAGGCAATAATAATACTATTTTTAATGCACAAGCTGAATGTGATCTTGGGAATCATCTCAATATAAGAATACAATTTATTAAAACAATATCACAGTGGAGGTTTCTCGTCCGTTGGTTCTTCTTTTATAGGATGACTACATTCCATCAAGGCAGGATTTGCCACTGCAATTATATTATCTCCGCGTGAAGCTATTACCTAAATTCATTTCATTTGTTGTCAGAATTTTTATATATATTTAACACATATTCTATATAATGACGCTATCAAAATATTATTAACTGTTTCGAAAAACAGTTTGGAACATTTCATTTGGTCCATCTTTATATTATTTTTATAAAGTAAATTTTATAAGAATTTTTTGCATAATAGAAATACCTTGAGATTGAAATCACTTTCTTTATCAGTATTGTCTGCTTCAGCTTCGTTGGTATCCTGTAAACATTTATTACATAATTTTAATAAATTCAAAAATATTTTAAGTGTCTTGAAAAATAATTATTCACAACATTCATCGATGTTTTTGAATTCAAAATTTATTTACATGTATCGACGAAGATTCTTCGTTGGAAAAAGAAAGTTGACTGTCCGAGTCACTTATTTCTTCGATACTTCCGCTGAATATACCATTGTTATTCTTCTTCCTCCAAACTGGACTAAAACAATGCAAATGTCTCAACATCAATATGTACATAAGTTATTTATAAGAAATAGTTTGAGATTTTAACAATTTTATTTATACATTCAGTTGGTATAGAAAGTTTGTCACTTTGGTGAAATATTTAAAAATAAAGTTATATGATATTAAAGTAATTTTTTATATATATTTCAAAGCAGTATTAAAATTAAATGATATAAATGAAATACAATTATGAGAAAGTTAAATGAAATTATAAATTCTGAGTGACTTTTTGTTTCTAACACTTTTGGAATACTTAGCGACAAGTAAAATTTATCTTTCGGTAATCACCTTGATGATCTGTGTCTCCTGATCGTTGAATTGTTAATATCTATTTCAGAGCAACGTAGGTCCAGTTCCTCCTGAAACATTTAACTGCTATAGACAATATAAGTAGCAACAATATAACACTGTATGCAAGAGAAAAAATTAATAGTTAACACAGTTAAGGTATTGAAAGAAGGCACAACTCGTCAGGACACCAGGAACAAAGCATAGAGTCTTAACAAGTGTGGAAAAAAGCTGTCATATTACAATTAATTTTAAAAGTTTTAGTCAGCTAATGAAAATTTAAGGTTTGCTAATTTTTCTAATTTATATATTAGGTAGAAGAAAAAATTTGACAAGTTTATAATATAAAATTTGTCTTATTTTGGGCCACATGTATATGGCTGTACTAATCATTTGAAGCACGAAGAAATGTATTAACTGTAATTTTTATTTCACTGTCATTTTAAAAATGTTTATTTGTTAATAAGTCTGGTAACAGAAGCAAATAATTAGATTATAAGAAAATGCGATAAAACTTTCAATTTCATTAATTGATAAAAGAAAAGGTACAAAATTTGATCCTATTAACCATATTTACAACAGTTTATTAACACTATAGCTT